CAAATAGGACACACAGTCACATTATATTCCCCCAATGCATCCAGGCTTCCTCCCCTCTGCCCTGGAGATAATTGAGAAGTAATTCAATTACCTCCCAAGACAAAGGCAAATCGCCATTATGCAAGTGGGGATACTACAACACGAATTACTATTAAAATACACTATGTGAGACACATAACATTAAACGCATACATTTAACATATCTCCAGATAGCACAGGTCTGAGCGCACATTATTAAGCGAATGGCGCTCAGACCACACAAATACAGTTTAATTGCCATGGAGCCAAAGTCTTTACACAGTCAGTTCTCATACGAATGGGCTCCATGGGATTCCTATCTGGGGTATAACATTTCAAGTAAAACTACCGAACACCGGGCCGTTCGTGCACTCCCGCCGAACAAGAAGGGAGGTCGGCAGCTTCAGCGGTGTTAGCGCCAAACTGTGTCCGTTTTTAGTTCCATGAGTTAGGCGTCGAACACCGCTGTGCGTTCGCATGTTAAAAATGGCCGCGACCTCGTGTTCGTGATACAAATGGCGGCCACCCAGCATTCGTCAATTAAGCTGCGGTTAACCGCAGCTTCAGGGAGGCTAATTGCCGGCACACCCCAGCTCCCAGGTGGTCCAGTCATTCGTGCGATTGTTCGGTAGATTGAATCTACCGAACACCAGGCAGAAAAGAACGAATAAATCTTTTCTGCAGGTAAAAAAGATGTCTTTTAACATGGGGCCATAGTCCAAAGGCCATCTTCTGTTGAGTCCACACTAAAGGTTACTGAAACAGAAACCACGATAGGACAAAGTGGATAGGGCTATGAAAGTTTAAATATCCGTAACTAGCATTTGATTGGCCCATGTCATGCCTACGTTCCCAAAACATGCATGTGTGGGGGTGCCGTAATGACATAGGCCAATGGGAGCCTGAATCCATTTTTGGCTCCCACTGCCATTTTGAGAGCATGCTTGTGATGCAAGCCACGCTCCTAGTGCCAGACGGAGCTCCAGCTGAGAACCTCGGCCGGCCCCCGGATAAAGTAAGTACCGCCACATTGGGTTCTTTCTAAGTCATAACCCAAATAAATACAGAACAAAATCTTAAACATTCTTTAAAAGGGAGTAATTTAAAGTTATAGATTGTGCCCTCTGTTTAGCCCAATTTCCATGGGTGGCTTCATTACACAGTTTTGTAAAGACTAAATCCAATACATTTAAGAAATAGAAGTTATATGTGTTCCTTGCCGTGATGGGACATGAGCATAGTGAGAGTATGTGAGAGTGAGAGTATGCAAATGTGTAAATGTATGCAAGGGCAAATATAATTTTAGAAGGGATTAGAGTAAAGAGGACTTAAAGGACCACCATAGTGCCAGGAAAATAAACTAGTTTTCCTGGCACTATAGGGTCTTTAGGTCCCCCTCCCCCCTCTCAGTGTCCCACTCCCGCCGGGCTGAAGGAAGAGGAACAGTTAAACTCTTACTTTTGTCCAGCGCCGGGGAACTCTCCTCCCACTTCCGACGTCAGCGCTGAATGCGCACGCATTCAATCAGTCTATAGGAAAGCATTTCTCAATGCTTTCCTATGGACGTCAGCGTCTTCTCTCTGTGCGGAAGTGCCTCTAGCGGCTGTCAATGAGACAGCCACTAGAGGCTGGATTAACCCTATTGTAAACATAGCAGATTCTCTGAAACTGCTATGTTTACAGCTTCAGGGTTAACCCTAGATCGGCCTGGCACCCAGACCACTTCATCGAGCTGAAGTAGTCTGGGTGCCTATAGTGGTCCTTTAAGATTAGAGAGGGGTTAAGGTCATAAATAGTTTACATGAGGTGTATAGCATTAAGAGGATTTAAAGCTTAAAATGTGTTATTGTGTTAGGGTAAGAGGTGTTTAAGGTTATTGGGTTTAGCCATAGAGTTGGGTTAAATTTAGTTTTTGGTTCAGGGGGTGTTTAGTTTTTTTATAAGATCATATTTAGACCTTTTTGCGCTTAAATGAGGGACTTAGGAAAGGGTTTGTTTAGGTTTTGGGTTAAATTTAGGGTTTAAATGAGAGAATTTGATGAAATGGGTGTTTATGGCAATTTGAAGTACTCACTCACCCACGTCTTTTGTAGTCCAGTCACCCTCCTATGATTGATTGATAAGCTGCAGTGGCTGTTAAATAGTATGCACCAATCTGTGCAGTTACTACTCCTCCTGCAAGGCATTTCTTATGTAAGACGCTTTTAGTGGGCAAATAGTAAATAATCTCTTCAACTTTTTGCCCAGCCTCACACACAGACAATGGAGGAGCTGGGAAAGGATTGAGATTTACACCCTGATTAACTGTTCCTGTAACTTGGCTATCTGCTGTAAGGGGCTGACTGGACTACGAGGACGCTTGCCCAGGCTCTTGGTACTTATATCTCCCCATTAGGTCACTTAAGGTCCAAAGACAAACATTATAAGTGCGGAAAACAGGTGCCCCCTAGAGGACAGGTGCCTAAAGGCAGGCCTAATGGAAAAACCCTGTATATGGGTTTGACAGATAAGAGGCTGTAGGAAATGCAAGCAATATTCCCTCTAATTTTTCTTAGTTGGTGTGCACAGAAATTTTCTCTTGTGCAAAATATTTTCCCAGTCCCAAATGTTGTGCATACTCTCTCTCTCATGGTTTATAACACTACATTACAGTATTACTATGTGACAATGTAGTAGTTGTAGTTACATAACAGTATTACTGTGGTATCAGCCATTCAGACAGACAGGCCTCTCTGCTAATGCCCATTTTGGTCTGTCAGATGGTCCATAGAAAGCAACAGGGGCCAATTGCGCAGACAAGGTTACACACAATTAAATTTTTTCTAGAAACATTTTCCAGCTTGTGGACGATACATTTTGTCATAAAGCTTCATCCTACTAGACAGCCACTAGAGGTCACTTCCGTGTTTATAGCACACATTCCGTGTGCTATAGCGTCGCTGGACATCCTCACGCTATTTGAGGACCTCCAGCGTTGTTGAAATCCCCATAGGAAAGCATTGAAAGCATTTTTCAATGCTTTCTTATGGGGAGGTCTAAGCCGCGTTAGGTCTCCCCTGCGGCTGGCCGCACATGCTCAATAGGTCTCCCCTGCCGGAGTGTGGGCGGACTCTGAACCAGCGCCGAGGGACATCGGCGCCTGATACAGGTAAGTTACTGAAGGGGTTTTAATTAGTAATCCAACCTACCCACTGGAAGGCGTGTACTTATAGATTATCTATTGTTATTGAATACTGATGATTATATAAACAGCAATTTCCAGAGCTGGATACCACAGACAACCCTGAGACAGAAGAGGAACGAGGTTAAAGTCAGGTAAGGAACATTAATACAATACACTCACACTCTTACGGAATGCTCAGGGTTTAACAGTGATTGGTGCTCACCAGCTTGCTGCCACTCACCCCATGTGTTTCCTATTAAGGGTTAATAAGTATGTAGGGGTTAAGAAAAAAAAAACCTTCCTGTCTGATTAGAGATATTGCATATCAGCTTAAAGAAACAAGGTAAGTTGTTGGTGTTTGACTTGACGTGGCAGGTGAGCTTACATGTTAATGGCCATTGGAGGGGCACTAAACCTCCAGTTATTTAAATGTGCATAGGGACTTCTGGCTTTTATTGTGTATATATTGGGTCTGATGTGTAATATAGTTATTGCTAATGCACAGGAGTAGTGGGGATTTGAGCACATTTTGTATGATTAAATATTTATGTGAATATCTTTAAACCAGGTTGAAGCATTCCATAGATATGTGGAGAAAAACAAAAAAAAAATATTCCTTCTAAATATATAGTGTGTGTAGTTGCCTCTTACTGGAAGAAAATTTGCGAAGTCGTAGACATGTGGAGTGACGTCGGATAGTGGGCAGACACTAGGAAGTCTATGGCATATTTGACTTTGGTCTAAATCGTTCCAGCAAAAGACAGAGATGCACGAGGGGAGACGGGACAGAGAGCACCATTCACCTATTAATTGGAAAACTCAGCTTTTGTGAGTAGGGGCGGATGGCCTGCATACACTCACTTACTTTCTTCCAGTAAGGGGCGGCTACTCTTATCCCCCTGCGTATATGTGCAATATATATGTATATTTTAATGTTGCTTCTATCTTGTCTGTTAATAACTTTGGTTAGATGAACATCATTTGATTTATAGATAACTAACTCAGTGTGGAGTCACTTGAGTCATAGTTTCTATAAATATATTGGAATATTAATCTAATTTTATTATCTGTTTACATTCTTATCTTTTTAAAAGTGTGGTTTAGTTCCTGTTTTGAATGCCTTTTTAGTGCTCCCATCAATTTGTATATATTTAAATATATAATTAAGTTGTAATGCAATAAATAATCAAACAAGTCAAGAAGAGGTAGTGCTACAGCTGGGGGTCTCTAGTCACTAAACACTGAACTGGGATGAAATAAACCTAATTACAAAGTAAGGCTACAATAGCCAATGAAGACTTGGAGAGCTACACTGGAAACAGAAACACACTGCAGAAAAATATTAGTATTTGACAAGAGATATAACATATTTGTGTATAAATAGCCATATATTCTTTCTTTGCCAGTAAACTGATTCCTGAAGATAAAAACTCGAGATGGAAGGAATTGACCTTAAACATTATCACGATGAAGAGTTTGATCACCATCTACTGATAAAAACGTATGTTGGTCATGATAAAACGGATTCCAAAGAGGAACTGATGACAATGCCACAGCAAAAATTATTTGAGGTATTGTCCTCAGGTATGTTCATGTTTAAGTCCTTTTATTGCTTTTTTTGTCTTTAATTTGTATTAAAGAAGCGCTGTCACTTGTAAGGTCATGGTATTTCCTTAAAGGGACACTATAGGCACCCAGACCACTTCATCTCACTTTCTCCTTAACCCTGCAATGTTAGTTAATGCAGTTCCTGAGAAATTACAGTAAGTACGTGTCAGGGTTAAGACTGCCCCTAGTTGTTGTCTATCAGCCACTAGAGGCATTTCCTGCTTGTTAGGCAATCTTTGGCCTAATTGATGCCGGAGTTCGCCACGCTCTTCATGAGGACACCAGCATCAGTAAAACTTCAATGTGAAAAGCATTGCTTTCCTATGGGGAGGACCTAATGCACTCACCACGGATGCGCATGAGCCCCGCAATGGGTGACGAGGGAGGGAGAGTGTAGGGGATCTATAGTGCTAGCAATACTATAGTGTCCCTTTAAAGACTTCCCATGGTGGCATGTCAGCTTGCCTAATAATGCCTGTAGGAGAGTTGGAAGGGAGATATACATATCTAAAGCTCTCGCCCTGCACTGACACCCTCTGGTTAATCAGTTCCTGATTAATGATTCCACTAGGGGCTCTTAGTTTTTTTTTTTACTCTTGCATATGGATGTGTACATAAAATGGAGTTATAAGGGAGATACTGCAAGACTGCTGGATCCTCTATCGATCTTTGAGAACATTGAAATATTTACATCTGATTTGTATCTTGAGAAGTTGCAGTTTCCCGTTGTTTTCCTTCAGGTACCGTGAAAGGAGAAACTCTGATAGATCTCACCATTGCTCCAGCCTTCGGTCATTTAATGGTCGCAGCTGATTTCTTTAAGGAGATCTTCATATTGGACTCATCAGACAGTTCGCTCAAGGAAACTGAAAAATGGCTGAATAAGGAGCCAGGAGCTGTGGACTGGTCTCATGCAGCTCACATTTCGTGTAAACTTAAGGGTGTGAGGTAAGTCTGCTGGGTTAGATAAATGTTGCTTTGTGTATTCTAAAGGGACCCAGACCACTACATCCTCAATGACGTGATCTGGGTGTGGTGGCCCTGTCCTTTTAACCCTGCAATATAAAGCATTGCAGTTTTATAGAATATACTTTGTTTGTATTGCAGGGTTAAATCCACCTCTAATAGTTGTCCCATGACACAAACACCCATAAGAAAGCATCAAATTTAGTACTTTACTATGGGAACTATTTCTAGTGAAGCAAATATAGATGGAATCTGAGCTTTTGATCTAGTGAAGTCATATATTAAAGCAGCGCTGTCACATCTGCTTAATTTGTGAATACCCCTGATGGTGACCTCAAAGCTGGGAGGCCAGGAGGGACAGGCAAGGGTGATATTTACTTACCTGAGCCTGTCCCTCATGGGCGTGGCCATCTTAATCTGGTGCTCCTCTAGGGAGCCGATGTCGCTGCTGTACTATCTTGCATGTGCGAGAATATTGAATTGAGATCTATGGAGGATCCATAACTGGTGATGGCTGTCGGGATTGACACTTGGACTCTGCCCTGAGTCTAAGAAATTTAGGAGGAGAAATACAGAGGCAAAGTAATCCCTACTTTGTTTCTGTATTTATTGACTGGTTTGGAATTTCAGATTCAATCTTTATTAAATACTCCCTTATCAGGGTGGCAGAAAACAGTGCTGCTTTTAATATTTCTGAAATCCCGTATAAATAGCTAGCCCACTCAATAAGATCAACAACTGCTTTCATTGACTATTGTGTTGTCCAGGCATGTTGCTTGCTGTTCAAATAGAACAGAGGTAGGCTGCCTTCGACACTCCAGTTGTTGGCTATATCTTCATAATGTTGGCAAAGCTTCAGGGGAAATGTAATTCACAACATTTGGAGTGCCAAAGGTTGCCTACCCTTCCTCTACATAAAATATTATATTAATATTTGTATATAGCAACATTTTTGGTTGCAGTCTTTTTGACTGTTCAGTCAGACTCACTGGCGTACATACCAGGGTCGCAGGGGTCGCGACTGCGACCGGGCCCGGCCCACCAGGGGGCCCGGCCGCCCCTGCGACCCGGTATGTACGCCCAGGGCCAGCCTCTTCCCCTTGGGGGGCCCAGGAGCCGACCACCCCAGGGCCCCCTGAGGCTGGCCCTGCTGACCCCGGGTGGCCGGTCGGGCAGGCAGGCGGGCGCGCGAGGGAGCACTCAGTGCTTCCTCTTCAGCTCCCTCGCGCACCGCACTGATGCCGGAGCCGGAAGATGACGTCATCCTTGGCTCCGCCTCCGGCATCCCTATGCGGCGCGCGAGGGAGCTGAAGAAGAAGCACTGAGTGTTTCCCGACCGGCCACCCGCCCAGGAGCCCCACTGGACCCCAGGGAATAATCCCCCCCAGCACTCCAAGAGGTAAGGAGGCTGGGGGGATTATATTAAAAAAAAAAAAAAATCATGTGTGTGTGTTAGTGTGAGTGTTAGAGTGAGTGTTAGAGTGAGTGTTAGTGTGTGTGAGTGTTAGTGTGTGTGTTAGTGTGTGTGAGTGTTAGTGTGTGTGAGTGTTAGTGTGTGTGAGTGTTAGAGTGAGTGTTAGAGTGAGTGTTAGTGTGGAGTATAGAGTGTGTCTCAAGTAGTGAGTGTTAGTGAGTGTGTCTGCTAGTGAGTGCCAGTGAGTGTTACTGTGTGTGTCTTACTGAGTGTGTGTGTTAGTGAGTCTGTTTGATGTCTGTTAGTGAGTGTGTGTTTGTCAATGAGAGTGTATGTTTTGTAAGTGAGTGTGTATGTATGTCTGTCGCTGAGTGTGTCTCTGTCAGTAAATGTGTGTGTCTGTTAGCTAGTGTGTATGCGCCTGTAAGTGAGAGTGTGTGTGTCTTCAGCACTTACCTTTCTCCAGCGCCGGACTCCCTTGGCGCTGAGGATCCCTCAGCCTCTCAGCTCCGAATGCGACCGCGCACGCATTTCAAATGGCAGGTTACATTACCAATGCTTTCCTATGGACATTCAGTGTGCTCCTCTAGCGGCTGTCAGTGAGACAGCCACTAGAGGCTGGATTAACCCTCAGTGAAACATAGCAGTTTCTCTGAAACCGCTATGTTTTCAGCTGCAGGGTTAAAACTAGAGGGACCTGACACCCAGACAACTTCATTGAGCTGATGTGATCTGGGTGTCTGTAGTGGTCCTTTAAAGGACCACTATAGTGCCAGGAAAACATACTCGTTTTCCTGGCACTATAGTGCCCTGAGGGTGTCCCCACCCTCAGGGACCCCCTCCCGCCCGGCTCTGGAAAGGGGTAAAACTTACCTTTTTCCACCGCTGGGCAGAGAGCTCTCCTCCTCTTCTCCTCCCCGTCGGCTGTATGCGCACGCGCGGCAAGAGCTGTGCGCGCATTCAGCCGGTCACATAGGAAAGCATTCATAATGCTTTCCTATGGACGCTGGCGTGCTCTCACTGTGAAAATCACAGTGAGAAGCACGCAAGCGCCTCTAGCGGCTGTCAATGGGACAGCCACTAGAGGAAATAGGGGAAGGCTTAACCCAAGGCTTTCTCTGAAACTGCTATGTTTATGAAAAAATGGGTTAACCCTAGCTGGACCTGGCACCCAGACCACTTCATTAAGCTGAAGTGGTCTGGGTGCCTAGAGTGGTCCTTTAAGTGTGTGTGCATCTGCATGCACTGGCGTACATACTGCGGTCGCAGCCCTGTAACCCCTGCGACCAGGTGCCCACCGCCATGTGTTGCGGCCTGGCCCGCGCGGGGGGGGGGGGCACAGATCAATTTTCGCACCGGGGCCCCATGGGTCATGTGTACGCCACTGGTCAGACTTCTCAATGAGTTGTATTACAGCTCGATGCCACATCATTTCAAGACAGGTTGCCTGGAAAATTGTTACCTCTTGGGGGTTTGCACCCCTGAATTAACAGGACCTGCTATCTGACGGCCCTGGGGGTGTAACATTTATATTGAGATCAGCACTTCTTTAAAATAAGAAAAAGAGGTCCTATCCTTCGCATACAAAACTTCGCAAGCCCAAGTGCATTATGTGTTTGGAGTGTTCCTTATACTTACACGGTCATTCACTAAGGTGTAAATTCAAAGGAAATTAAAAATTTTAAGCTAAACATATTGTACTGAAGGATAGCTGACATGGATAATTTTTCCAGTTTGGATATTTTGATCTTAAATTCACTTTGAAGCACCATGGTCCTTCAGGGTTGTACACATGTAGTCTTGGAAAAGACAAGCCTAATATTTATTATTTTGTATTTTGTTTGCACTTCTCTTACAGTTGTCAGGAGGAGCACAGCAGCGGTTTTACAAGGTAACTGTTTTTACACACGAGCTTGTTTTCGTTAAAAACAACAAATAACCAAATTTATAGAAAACATTATTGGACAACACAATGAATGCATTTACTAAACACTTTGACAGTTTTTATGATATCACAACTATTGAATTTCAGTGAACACTTGGAAGCTGAGGAAGAGAAAGTCAGAAGAGTTGTCAAACATTGTTTAAAATGGGATCCCACCAATGACAATCCACTGAGTTCTGTCGTACTTCCTCAAGCAGACTGTGCCATCAGTGTCTTTTACTTTGGTGCCTGTAAAGATCATGAGAGTTATCGCAACACCTTTAAAAAATTATCTTCCCTTGTGAAGGTGGGAGGTCACGTCATTCTGTTTGCCCTTTTCAATGGGACCTATTTTACAATTGGTGATCACAGGTTTTCCATGTTAAACTATAATGAAGAGTTAGTGAAGGAAGTTCTCCAAGACAATGGGTATACCACTGTGATTTTTGAAGTATATGAAAGCAAATTAAACACTCACTTAGTAGATTATAAACAGAGTGGGTACATTGTAGCTCGTAAGGAAAGGGAGATTTAATCAAATTAATTCTTAAAGGATTACTTCAATCACCATGACTACATCTGCTTTTAGAAGTGATCATGGTGGTAGCAATCTGTATGTGCAGCGTTTACAGTGGGGGGAAGTCTTCTGAAAGTAAAATGGAAAAAATTTAATTGTTCTGAGTTTGCATGTGGGTTTTTTTTTTTTGGTTTAACTTAGATTTGGTTTTTAGACCTAACTTTGAAAATCTGGATATACCATTCTGACTTTGAACCATATAAAAAGCAAATTAAACTCTCATTTAATATATCTTTTGGATCTTTTAAGGGAGGAGAGAAGGAATCAAGTTAATTCTAAAATCTACTAAAGGGGGGAGGGAGGGAATGTTGAAGCCAATAAACCTGCATTAAAATTAATAAATCATGAAAGTAATAAACTGCCTCATGTGTTTGTTTTTTATTTTTGTATTAAGATTGATTGTATATGTACCGTATATACTCGAGTAGAAGTCGAGTTTTTCCGCACTCATTTATTTATTTATTTGTGCTGAAAACCCCCACTCGTCTTATACTCGAGTCAATGTCTGTATTTTGGCAACTTACATTGCCATAATACAGACCAGGACATCCAGGCTCATTGCAAGCACGGCGGTCCTGTTGGAGGGCCAGCAGCAAGCTGTAACTTACCTTTCCTTCAGCTCCCCACTGTAAGTCTCGCGAGAGCCGCGGCGTCTGAGCATTGCCACTGGTTACCATGGCAACGGTCCACGTGGCCCTCAGACTGCAAGACTTACAGTGGAGGAGAAGAGAGCTGCAGGAAAGGTAAATTACAGCTCGCTGCCAGCCCCCCTCCTACACAGCCAATGCCACTGGATCACCAGGGAATGAGAGCCCCCCCCCCCCTCCCTGGCCATGTATAAAGCAGGGAGGGGGAATAAAAAGTTAATATTATTGTAACAGATCACCTGGCACCACAACTGGGTACCTCCATTGAAGGATGCTCCTAGCACTTCCTGAAGTCTCCAAGCACTGCAGCAGACATCATAACCACCGTAGACTCCTCCAGAGTGCAAGGCAGGAACAAGTTCAAACAAGAGCTTAGTAGTGATTTAGCAAGGGAGTATGACAAGCATAAGAGACAGGACTCTGATTGAGGGTGAAGTAGAACTGAAGCTTTTAATCAAACACTCTGCTTTTTTTTGCACATTTTACACACATGGTACTGCCCGCAGAGTTTTGCAGAACAATCCAATCAATATGAACAATACACTCAGACACTCCCACACAAAATCCTCCCCTCTGCCTGTGATATAGAAACATAAAATGTGACAGCAGATAAGAACCATTCGGCCTAATATAATTACTGAACACAATGGTCGAACTTATCACAGGCAGGAAAATACAGTTTTACACAACATTCATAACTGTAAAAATATACATCACATTCACATACAATTTTTTCAGAATCTGCATACTCCAAATACAAACATACGTCAAAATCATACAAATTGGTCCAGTGGGTCAAAAGTTAGTTGAAAGTCCCTTTGTGACCATCTGCAAGCAGGGCTGGGGTGTGTTAAGCCGATTACCTCCAGCATACAGAAAAATGGCTCTATTCACAACAACAGTAAAAACACATAAAAATACATCATTCCTATTATACTTAACAGAGCCCCCACATTCATAGCTTGGATCTGAGCGCTCACTATATCCAAACAGCGCTCAGATAACACAACAACAGTCAAATCGCCATGGGGTTAAAACACAGCAAGAGCTGATGAGAGACCGTGGAGGGGCAAAACAGCAAGTTCCAACTGGTCTGGCAGTGTGCCTGGGACAACGCCCTGCTGGAACAATAAACAGGAAACGAGGGAGGGGAAGAGACACATCTTCCCATGGATTCAAATGGTCAGAAACAGTCTTTTAGAAGCCAATAAGCCCCAAATAGTCTTTTTAAATGGCAATACACCCCAGGGTCATAGTCATGAGGGAGGAGGCAAGCAACCAGGCTCCTCCAGTGCACAGTGGCGAGGTTGGTTCCGCCACAGAATCATTAGGAAAGGAGACACTTAATGAGCATTGGGAGAGATAGGAGAAAAACCAAGAGAGGACAGTGTCACAGAGAACGAGTGATTGAAGGGTTTGGAGAAGGAGAACATGGTCAACAGTGTCAAAGGTAGCAGAGAGGTCAAGAAGGATTAGTATGGAGTAGTGCCCTTTGAATTTAGCTGCAATTAGGTCGTTAGTAACTTTAATAAGAGCAGTCCTAGTAGAGTGGAGGGGGCAGACGCCAGATTGAATAGGGTCAAGGATAGAGTTGGAATTGAAGAAACAGAAGGGTAAAGACCAGTCTTTCCAGAAGCTTTGAGGAAAACGGGAGCAAGGATATGGGATGATAGTTAGAAGGGGAGGACGGGTCAAAAGATGTTTTTTAAGATGGGTACTACAGAAGCATGTTTAAGGGCAGCAGACACAACACCAGAAGAGAGAGAGCAGATGAAGATGTGTGTTAAGGAAGGCACAAGACAAGAGGAGAGAAATCTGATAAGGTGAGACGGGACAGGATCAAGCGGGCAAGTAGTGGGGCAAGAGGAAAGGAGAAGCGCAGCCACCTCTTGTTCAGTAGCATGGGAGAAAATCTGAAGGGTAGGAAAGGCATGATCCAGGTGTGTTTGAGAAATGGAGGGGCAATGTGGCGAGATATTTGTGTGAACCTGCGGGCCCTCAGCTACCTGTTACTGCACGGGGGCCCAGCACACTCTATCCTCACCTCCCAGTTGCTCTGCTCTTCTCGAAGTCTCGCAAGCCACTTGGAGTGCTGCCATGGCAATGCTCTGATGACCGCGGGGCTTGTTACTGCCACCCTGCAAGGTGGGCACCAGAGGACAGGGATGTGGGCTTGATATACTGTACTGCTGACACGTTGTCCATGTGCAGTAGAATACAACAATTTGACATATATTTGGCCAAGCTCCAGATGGCAAAGAAGCCCGCTTTTAATTCCAAGCAGTTGATGTGTGTCTCCGATTCTTCGTGTAGCTATGGTTCCCCCATGGAGGAGTCTGCACAGTGTACCCCCAGCCCCAGAGGCTGGCATCCGATTCTACTATGAAGTCTGGTGAGGGACCAAATATGGCTTTCCATATCCAGGCTTGCATATGGAAGAGCTACCAACGGAGTTCAGTGCGCACCTCTGTGTTGATCAGTATTACCTGATCGTATGAGTACCCTGCTCGCAGAAAGCGTGCTTTGAGCTGTTGCATGGCTCTGCAGTGGAGAGATCCCGGGTATATCGCCTGGACAGAAGACCCACGACCCGGACTAGGAGTCAAAGTGGGATGAGGTCCAGCTGTAGGATTTAACGAATCTCCTTTCACATTAAAGCAATCTTTGACAATGGTAGACGCAGGAGGCATGTCGTGGAGTCGATTTTGAATCCTAAGAATTGAACTACTTGCGCCGGTTTGAGGGCAGATTTCTCTTGATTCACTACAAATCAAAGAGATTCCAGAAAGTCCTCGATAAATATCATCTGAGATACTAGTTGTGAGGCCAAGTTGCAGAAGATCAGCAAATTGTCTAGGTAAATAAGACACCACACTCCCGTGCTACGTAGATGCGCCATGATGGACTTCAGTAGTTTTGTCAAACACCAAGGTGCCGAACTCAGACCGAACGACAGACAGGTGAACTGGCAGGCGGTGTCCCTCCAGCGGAAACGTAGGAACTGTCGACAGGATGGTGCGACAGGGACTGAAAGGTAAGCATCCTTGAGATCCAGACGTGTGAACCAATCATCCATCAATAGGGGGCCGCAGATTAGATGGATACCCTCCATCTTGAAGTGATGGTAGACCACAAACACGTTCAAATGACGAAGGTTGATGACTGGTCTGCATTCGCCTGTCTTCTTCTGCACTAAGAAGATGTTGTTGAAAACCCTCCCGTTGTCGGGGCCAACTGGACCAACTGGGCCTTTGGAGTAGAGAGCCAGTATCTTGGCGTTCCTGAGCCTTGGAAACCCAAAGGGGGTGTGGCGGTAACGGCTGGAGAGAGGTGGAAGAGAACTTTATGACGTATCCCTGCACCGACTGTAGAATCCAGGCATCTGTCAAAATGTCCCTCCAGTTCTGGAAGAAAAGAGCCAATCTCCCGGTGGTTAAGGTAGAGTAAGGAAAAAGTAAAGTGGGACTTCGTCCACGTCCACGGGAGCCTCTAGTCCTGGACACACCTCGGTAGTTGGAGGGCTGCCGGTAAGCGGAGCTTGGGTAGAACAACGTTGAAGATGCATTGGACCTGGGTCCAGAGGGTCAAACACGGCTGGTGGCTAGGCCCCTCTGCCGACCAGTCCTTCCAAAAACACCATGGAAAGATGGGGGCCGAAAGACCTGTCTTAGGGACGTCTGAGCATTGATTGGTAATTATCCAATGTCATGGCTTGAAAGTCTCTTTAACATTAGTGTTCATATGGCAACCCGGACACTTCCGCCAACCAACACTGTCCACCACTCACATTTAAGAGACAAAAAGAGCTCCAAAATTCGGCCAATAATACATTATACCCTCATATGAACACTAATAAGGACAGTTAAAGAGACTTTAAAGGCATGACATTGGATAATTACCAATTAATGTGATCTAATGGTAAGGGCTACAAGGGATTTAAGAATAGAAGATTCTGAGGACCACATCTACAGCTGACTGAGGAAGCTCTTTAAGAGTAAAATGCGTACTGGCTACTTTTTAGGACTTTTTATTACCGCAAGTTTTATTTAATATGTTTACATTGTAATAAATTCCTTTATTTTATCAAAGTTATTCTATCAAAGTCCTTTTGGAACCTCCAGGAATCTTCATAGGGGTAGTGCCATCCCCACTAAATTGGCACAGTACCCGCACACCTCAAAGCCGGGATTGCTAGGCTCAGAACACGGTGAGCACCCTATTTTATTAACACATTTCACCCCCGGTTTTAACAGACATTGGCTTGTCTCTTTTATGTTTCCTTTTTGAGATTCATTTTTCAATTTATTGGAG